AATCTTCGTCTGAAACCCGAAGCATTGGTATGTAGCTATCTAATACAATTTAAGAATTAGAACCATTTTTTGTTTCAAAATAAATATTAAAAAAATTTTCTTGCATTGTGCCTTTTCATTGATTCAGGCTGATCTCAATCTTCCTGTGACAGTGGCTGTTGGCTATCTGGGTGAGTTTATTTTTTATTCTACGAAGGAAAAATGAAATGTTTCTTGTGCTTAATAGAGAAACTGGCATTAACCATTCCATGGATGAATCTTCATACTCATCCAACGAAGGTTTACATCAATGGGCTCTATATTTTGATTGTGCCCAAAAATGGTTAGTCACTAATCTTGATCATTGACTAAGTTTTGGCTAAAATAGAATCAGACAAATTTCAAAGAGTATCCTCAAACTGGAAGATAGTGGAAGTCTTATTTCTAAAAACGTTTTTCAGTAATAATCCAAATAGATGTTGTTTAGCTAAGAAGTCAGACGTGAGGAAAACGTTCAGAATGTAATTAATGTTACTTTTGTGACCTAACGTTGGTAGAACCGGATTTATCACATAGTCAATTTTTCAGATTATCGACAGATTTTGTGAAGACTGAATAACATATGATCTTCAGAGTGAGTGTTGTACAGTATAATGTAAAAATAGAATCCTCATTTTTAAAACGAATTTTACATAGATTCAGCAGAGACATGTTTAATAGCATACTTAATTGCAAAAGATACTTAAGAATTTCTTTTAAGAATTCGTTAAGTAGTTGTTCCAAAGATTCACAAGCAATAAAACAACGAGAAGGTACTATAGGTGACGACTTACAAATGCTGAATAGAATATCCATTATTTTATCCATTGTTAAACTTTTTAATAAATATATGCATCTAATAGTTCCGAAGTCATTCTTCGAACTGAAACTACTAAACAGTTTAGTCTGATATAGACCACAATCTAAAAGTATCCAATTTTGTCGAAATTAAACTGCTTTCAAAATTCTTTCAAAAAGTTCTTGACAATCAAAATCATTTCTATAGATACATTGGCTTCTGAAAATCTAAAAATCTGTCCGCTTTTCTAGAATATATATTTCAACATCGTAAATGTATTTTGCCAAAGCCATATGATAAACGAATATTTGTGCTAATTTTCATTTAATAACTGAATGAAAGTCCAGAGATACATTTCGGTTTTCGAACATGGTCAGCAATCGTTGAACATTTTAGGAGTTTAGAGAAGCAATACAGACTTCCAAAACAAAACTGATCTTGGAACTTCAAAAAGTGTCTTGAAAACCATGACTAGTGTTCGAATACACCTCCTTTTGTTTTCGATTTATTTTCATAGCCTCAGAGTTTTCTCAACTATTGATAATGTCAGCATGTTTGATTCAATCTGAACCGTTACTGATAGTTCGTTTTGGTAGCAATAAACATGTAGAAGTTTGTCATCAATAAAAGAGTGTGGATGGTTAGCATTGCAATGATGTAGTCGTCAATATTAGAGTTCGGATGACAGTACGTTTTGTCTTAATTTAATAAAACGAAGTATTTTGTTTTTCGTTTTGTTTATTTATAGAATTCGGTCACGATTTAGCCGAATATCATGCGCACAAAATGAGGCGAGTCCAACGTAAAGTCGACGATCTAAGAAAAGCAATGATAGGTAAATTATGATTTTCGTGTTCTTTTTTTCATTGAATGTATTGTAGAGAATAAAAAATTGGATGAGAAGGAAATGTCATTTTTCGAACGGAAGCGCTTACAGATAATGCACAATATCGAACTCGTTGTTGAAAACCTGCACATTAGTTATGAAACGAAATCGACGACTAAACTGGGACATCCATTTTCATTTGGATTGACACTTTGTTATCTCAAACTAACGGTAGGAGACCTCGAGTTCATTCCTAAAGCAAACCAAGAAATTCTTTTTTTTAGACGGAGAACGATGTCAGGACGAAACATCGAACAAAAGAAATAACGCCGATCATCTACACGGTTTGTTCAATAGAAAGTTCTTCTTTCAATATTATTACTGTTGTTGTGATAGCTAAAGGAAATTAATTCATTATCAATCTATTGGAATACAAAATGCGAATCGAGAGTTAGCATACCATTTAATATTGTCGTGGTAAGTATAACTCAGAGCAATGCAAACTTTGCTGATCATCAATAAGCAATTAAACTAGCAACATTTTTTTTGGAAACAATACACAAAATCATTGCATATTTTTTTCAAAGTGCTTAGTTGCACAGAATTCGAGTCCGCGCATACAAACAATCATTAGATGCAAGATCCATGCTACCTTTTTTTTTCCTTCCAAAATATATCGTCGCAATATTTACACGCGGTTGACCAAATCGAGACCGAATACTTTGTGCACAGCAACTGGATATATTATTTTCTCTCTAGAAACATTTATTACTCTTGTTAATGATTAGATTTCACTTCAAAACTTAAGAAATTTTCGTACTTCTATAGTATAGGAAATACAAATTGAATACACCGAACACAAAACAACTAACACATTTTTGAAAAACAGAGTGTATTCGATTTCTGTTTGAAATCTTTTGTAACAATCGTACATGGCAACCGTACAGTATTATAATGAAAGATATGCACTGTTCCCAGGAGTGTTTCAAGGTCATCAAGATTGGGCAGGATGTCGACTATTGAGAAGGTAGAGTTCACGACATTGATTAGTCGACCTTGCCACAAGGATTGGTAAGGCTAGTAAATGAAGAAAATAATTCAGTTTCATTGGAAAAAAACGAAAATTAGCTAAGATTGGGTAGGGAGAGAAGTCAACCCCTAGCTTAATCCTCTCAGGACACCTCAGACTGTATCTAAAAGAGGAAGACGAAAGCAGTCGTCTCGAGTCACTGAAGACAATTTCTTGTGATATTTTTTAAATAGTTGTCATGCTAAAATATTTTTTAACGAAATTGTTTTAAATATTTATCGACATGATAAATATTTAACAATATAAAACTGAAAAGAACTATGAAAAATCATCTCATCTAATAATAATATATAACTGTACATAAAGAGTGTTTAATAAATTTTGATTTCCTTCAAGTAATATTCTTGTTTTATGTGTTTCAGTGGAATAGGAAGATATTGACAGTATATACACTAGACATCTACATCCACTCTACGCTAGAATTTCAGCCTCCTACTGCTTATAATCATAGAGATTCAAATAGTATAAAAACTGTTAGAAATTTTTTTGAGTTATTTTTACAAACAGTAGGGACGAAAAGTTTGTAATTACTCGATCAATCTCTCATAACGAGTAGCTTTGAGTTTTTTACGTATCACTCATGCATTCTGTCATTTGTTATTTTTTTTAAATACTAACATGGCACCGTTTTTACACGATGATTAGAATAGAAAATATCAAACAACAACTGTGTTGAATACTATTGAATCTTTATTTGATGAACACATGAATCCTAATGTTGGCAATGCAAAATTTGCTGATATTTGATCAATCGAAACAATTTGAGGTACAATTAAGGAAAATTTGAGAGGAAAATGATTTAAAAATGAATCAGAATTAGACAACTAAGTAGTGCACGAGTATGAAATGTTTACTGCAATAAAATACAAACAAATGATAAAAAAAATTACCGAATCGATTGAAGCAAGTGATAGATCTAGATGGAAAATAGATAGATAAACGTTGACACAAATTTTTTTCTTTTAATGCTTGAAGAATTTCGATTTGTATATTTCATACAAACCGCTGTTTTTTATTTGACGTGAAAATCCTCACAAATAATTCAAAAAATTTCAATGAATTTTATGTTACTTATATCTTTGTGACAATAAGAGGTAGAAAGCTCCAATTCTAGTGTAGAGTGAATGTAGATATCTAGTATTATATATGCTGTAAACATTAGCCTATTTCACTACAAGATATATAAGAAAAGAACATTACTTGACGACAATTGTGTAAAAGTCTAAACTTGATCCAGGTGTCTGAAATTTTATTAACATTCATAAGATTTTTGCTATCGAATGAAACACTCGTCATAAGTTTAATTTCGCCATTATTGTTATTTTCTGTTCGATTTAATATAAATAATGGAATAATATTGCTGTGACATTGTTTACTTCTATTTTCTACTAAATTGTCTGTTTTTCTCTAATATTTATTGCTTAATTTATTGATTATGTTTTCATGTCTGTAGCTTTAATGAGTAATGAATGTATAAAGAATTCTCTTTTAGTGTTATGTAGCAGGTGCATAATATATAGTAACAGAAAGAGGACGGAGATTTCGAAAACCTATATTGGAAAATATTTTTTGTTAAATTTGTTAACTCATTGAATATACAATTCAATAGAAAATATCTGATGGGGAAAAATCATAAATGATGACCCAAAATGAGATAAGAGAAATCTTAGCGATATTTGAAAATATCTCGTTGATAGGCTGCTCAAGTTTGCAATATTATAGGCAAAGATAGTGATGGGAATGAAATAATTAGATCCGATTTTGATTTACTGTTGGCAGATGTTGAGAAGTAGAACAAAAAAAGCCATATAAAGAACGAACACTGAACATTTTTTTAAAGTTATGTTTCTGCTTTCAAAGAATTTTTCATCTTGAAAATTTTAAAAAAATTATCCTGCCAATGAGATTCATTGATATTTGGTTTAAACACATCTATAAATATACTTTTCAGATGTAATATTCACTCTTAGATTTCGACAAACATGATCGATTGACATTTGAAAACAATATTTCCTATATAATCTATCTCTTCTTCAATCTAACAGACCAAAACGTTTGTTAATATGATTAACAACAAACTTCTCGTGTCATTTAAACTTGAAAAAAGACACGAAAGAATAAGGTTTCTATTTGTGAATAAATGCAACAGTACATTTATGTTTCTTTTATCTAGGATGATTTAAAATCAAAAATAGCGATGAACGATTCTGAAGCAAAACATAATGAGATGAACTATAGTCTGTAGAAACATTGATTATTCTTCTCTAATGTTTTTCCTTGTGATAGTTTTATATCCTGTTAATCTCACTGTTAATATGGTCATTATGATAACACCTGGTGAACATCGTTTTGATCGTTCTACATTTAATATAAATGCTGTTATTAAACAAATGGCCCTCAATATTGACTTAAATCAATTTTCTGATTTATTTGACTTTGGAAAATTTCAAAATTATAGTACACTTTACGGTATAGAAATTGTCTATACGTTGATTTAATTCTATCTTCAATCATTCATTTTTTTTTTCTAGAGCGATGTCGTGAATATCGTCAATTGCATTTACAACAATCGCTTGACGATACTATGTTGACTCAAGAACAGAAAGATCGTCTTAAGGTAATATAACACACTTAGAAGAAAACTATAACAATCTCAAAAATATCTTTAATTTTCCGAGTGATTTTTTTTTGACAAAATATTGAATCAGGATAGAACTACAAATACGAAGAATATTTGCTTTTATCGGCGAACATTTTTTTCAGCCTATTCAATTTTATTTGAGCTACAAATAAAAAAGAGTCGGTAATTTACACTATTTTGAACCCAGTTCAATTAAGGACAATATTTTTTATTATTATTATGAATTAATTATATATATATCGCGTACACCAATCTGCAAAACATTGACCGTGTGAAAAAAGTATTGACAATCGATGAGAACTTATTCGAAGAAAACGATTTTGAAGCCAATCTTACACAACATATGATCTATGTCAAATATAAACAATTGATAATAGACTATAATAAGTCATAGTACATGTTATATATAATATTATTTAATTTAGTTAGTTAGTTTTAACGTTATTTAATATAGAATTTTTCTTAAATGAATCAATCTTAAAACATAATTTATCGTCTTGTTTGTCCGTTAATTCTGGTCCGATATGCTGACTCTATTTCGTTTTCTAATCTTGATAAATATATATATATATATATATATATATACATAGACTAAACGAATGAGCAAACATGATGATGCTTAATAGATTGGTTAGAAAAATTTCAACCGATTAGCCTGTATTTATGTTATTGATAGATATATTTTCATTGAAAAACTTTCATAGAAGCAAATGTCAAGAAATGAACTATAATTTGCTTACATTTCAAGTTCTAATCCATATTCTTGAAATAATACCATCTGCTCAATATTCTTATTTTAATTAATATAAATGACAGAACGATTCCTTTTTTGACTAATTATATGTGATATTAAAAAGTTTGTTCGATTACACAAGAAGAATTTTGGTGGATCGATTATTGAATATGGACAAGCTCTATATAACATTGCTTTATTCTCAAGATTTATTTGGCAATATGTTTAGCTATTTTTTCTCGAATTGGAATAGATAATTAAGAAAAACTTCATATTAAAATTAAAAATTTTTTAGAAATGTAAATTTCAAGCAAAGTATTTCAACTAATTTTATTTCTATGATTTATTTATTGAAAACAGATAAGCAACAATTTTGAGATATATTATTCTTTTTTTTGATTTAACGAACAATCTTATTAAGTTTCTTATATTACTCACAAAAAATTATTTTTTGTTTCTTTTATTAAATCATTCTGAAAATTTCTATATTCGATATAAAACTGCTATATATATATATATATATTATTCATTTCAATTTAAAAGGATCAATCTTTATTATTCATTTTATTGAATAAAGCTTCATCTTCATCGTTATTTCCAAGTAATGAGAAAAAGAAAAAGTCAAAATAGGATTAAATTCTTCATCGAGAAATTATGCTTGAATGATTGAAACAATTTTATCATAATATAAAGTTGTTTGAATGATTACATTTGAGTTTGTTCTGTGAGATAATATTCATTTTCATTTTTGTACAAGCAGTATTTACTAATAAAATATTTTTAAAAACTTCTAAATAATAATCTTTTTACATAAATTGAGAAGATTATTTTTTCTTTTTTTAAGATTCTTGAATCAAAGTTAGATATATTCAATTTGGCATACATTCGTCATAGTGTTGAAATCGAGGTTTATTTTTATTTATTTATTATAATTAATAATATATATTGAATGAGAATAGGTTCAGAATAAAATAATGGTCGATTCATCACTCGAACACACTCACAAAAACAATTATCATCGATGGAATTCGTGGTGGAAAAAAAAGCAAAAACATAATCATGGTATGTATCACACATGTTCTATTGAATTTACAGATTTAAAACATTTAACTGTTGATTATATTAGATCTGTTTTCTTCATTAATAGAGTTAAATTGAAAATTTTATTTTGCAAACAAACACATTTTACTCTTCTATTGACTTTTTCTAGTTGAATCAAAAACTAAGATTTATCTCAAATTGAAATAAGAAATCATTTTTTTATTTATGATTATTCTCAAGATATATCATCAAAAAACGTTTGATTATATTTTAATAAGAATAAAATAATTTATTAAAATATTCTAATAGATGATTTAACCCTTTGAGTACCAGCATACATTATAAAGTACATATTTTCAAAGTTTTTGAATTTTTCAATAATTCATGAACACGAAATGATATTGAAGTGCAGTTTTTTCTGTGACATAGAAGAGATTTCAGTAAATACATCCATACACGAGTTATAACCCTAATAAGATCACTCAGGTAGTAAGCCTGTGGGGTTTTTGGAACACCACATCTCTATCCTAAAAAGAAGGAGGGTAGACAGTGTCCTTTTACGGTCCTCAAAATATTTCGGTTTTTCGTGTTGGAATCAAGTTAGGAGTGATTCCTAGTGATATATCAAAGGTTGGTTCTGCGACAGCTTTCAATCGAGTTTTGATCCACATCCGTACTTCCTAACGGGAATAGTCAAAACACTTCTTCAGCATTCCCGTCAGGAAGTATGAATATTGATCGAAAATGACGTTAATGATTTTTTAAAAGTTTTGATAAAAATATTACTACTATATTATGAATGTCTTAAATATGGAAACTCATAGAAATTTTTCTCACAGACAGAGTCACGATCCTTAAAGGGTTCGACCTAAATGATGATTATCAGAGAATAATATTAACAATATTTATAAAGAAATCTAAACAGTTCTCAACAATGATGATCTCTTAATACGATCTTTAACTGTATGCAAATAACTGATGTCTCTTGTAGATTTTTGTTAGATAAGGTTTTCTGTTCGACTGATTCTCGTAATGCTAGATATAGTATCGTAAACATAACATTTTTCTAATAATGAATACAAACGAGAAATTTTCAATATTACAATTGATTGCTCCTAATTATATTCATCCTTTCAAAAACTAAAAGTCATTCATCTACTCAATTATTTTCTTATTTGTCAAAATAAAGCAAAATAATTTCTAGTAGTTTTAGTGCAATAAAAAAATTCTCGTTAAGAATTTAATGATGAGTTTCGAAACAGTTTTATTAAAGTAATAATCATTTTTGAGATAATCTATGTCGAAATTGACAATAATATTTATGATGATTGAAAATCATCTAAAACCACCCAATTAACTGTTTCTTCTCTTGCTTTTATTTCTTTTCTTATCAAAAGAATTTTATTTTTCTCTAAAAAGAATGTATCACTAAACAGAATTAATATATCTTTCATTAGAATTTTTATCATCCTTACAGTAGTTTATTCTTTTAAATCTGTTTAGTCTTTTACTTTCTATAAATATTTGACGTTTGTCATCAAAAAATGTTTTTCTTGTATTTCGAAACAAAAAAGTGAGAGAGAGTAAATATGACATGGGGTATTTATTTTTTGATTGATAATATGATGAAATTTATTGTATTGAATGAAATTGAATGATTTTTTTATATGACTATCTATTGAGATGATAGAAAAATGTCAATAACAACATCAGAATCATATCATGATGATGGATTTAGTTTCTACTTTGAAGATGTAAGTTAAAAAGTTCTTTATCTATTACTTTTATTTATATTATATTTATAGTTATCAAATCTAATTATTGATATAACAATAAATAAGCTTGATTTAAATTTAGTGTCATCATTAAGAGTAAACACGTAAGTAAATATTAAAATAAATTTTATTTAATAATAAATATATTTAGTGCTTGCTCACCTCAATTAATTAATAAAATAAATCGTGAAATATTAGCTCAAATCAGTATTGATGATGGGCAAATAAATGCTGTCAAACGGTCTATTTCGTCAAGTTTATTGTTAAGTCAATTTGAATATTTACCTTTTTTTCTAATTTGAATAATTATTTCATTTTTAATAATGAAGATTTCAATTGACTTTTCCATGTTTTCGATTCTATGGTATTCAAGATAGTATATCAAATTCTCGTTTATTGGTTCAATCAACCTCAAAATGTGACTGTCCATTAATGTACATTCAATTTGAATTATTTCCAATTAACAGAAAAAGATCTGATTATCGTTTTCATTTAAATATTCAACCAATAAGAATAATTTATGACGCCGTAAGTTATATAATTATATTCTGAATTTATTTTATCTAGTGAAACATCTTTTAAGCAAGATCTTGACCAAGATACAATGTATAGCAGGATTCAAAAGATCTTGAAAATTTAGCTACAACATAATGCGATTATTTTCTATCAAGATTTTTAATTAGATTCTGCCGGAAATGCACATGATGCAAAACACGATCATTCAGACTCATTTAGGAATGCCTCCAACCAAGGACATCCACCAACTGTCCAATCGCTTTTGAGTCGAGACCATGTGCATTATGTAGATCTAAATGAACTATGAATACTCGGAAAAGAATTCGTGCTCTTAGCTTATTGCTATGGAGATATCCGGACTTTTACGGTATTTTTTGAATAAATGTCTTGGTTCCCCTCAAGAACACCAGAAAAACTGACTTTTGAGTATCGACTTGAAACTTTGCATAGAGACGGGCCTGAATGAGAATAGTTTATTGTAGAAGTTTCATATTTTGTTACCGGTTCTATCTTATGATACAACTATGGTAATAGAGTGTCATTTACATCACTCATATAAAGCAGCAGATTTAATGTTCTTATTCCAGGATAGAAGCAAGTCAAAAGATTTGCAACTTCTACGATAAATTATTCTCGTTAAGGACTGTCTTTTTACAAAGTTTCGAGTTGAAATTTGAAAATTATTTTTTCTGATGTTTCTGAACGGGATCACGGCATTTATTCAAAAAGTACCGTACAACTGTAACATTTCCGCAGCCATAAGCTAAGAGCATAAACTCTTTTCAAGGTACTCATAGTTCATTTAGGTCTACATGGCCTCGACTCAAAAGCAATTGGACAGCTGGTGGACCTCTCTCGTAAATACTTCTGAAATAGCCTGTCGAATGAAAAATTTGACGCTAAAAATGAATTCGGAGTCAGATTTGTGCTACAGGCACAGGTAACTAAGTTGGAAGTTGATGATAAATTCAAAAACAAAATTGAAATTATCGTCCTCATGAACACTCTTGAATGAAGATTACATTTTATTGAACGATTCGGTATAATCTAGTAGTTGCAATCATTGGCAAGGCAATGCTTACTAAGTAATAATAATTGAAGATCATGGAGAAGAAACATTACGTTCTTATATCTTAATCATTTCAGCTGATCTGAAGTACACAATCTAATTACAGATCTTATTATAAGATAATCATATAGTGTTGTACTTGAGTTTTTGAGATGTATTCAATTGTCTGTGCGTCGTATTTTGGCAAAGATTTTGCTTAAAAAAATGTTCCACTAGAACTATATACTGAATTAGGTAACTATTTTGTCAATTTTTGTTTTGAATAAATTAAAGAAAGTAATTCGACATATAAACAAAGATAAGAAAAAGAAGATGAAAAAAATATTTATGAAAGTTAATTTTAGATTTTTAGATACTGCGGCTGTGATACAGACTAGAAGTTATAGGATATCAACAGGGAAAGGATGGTAATAGTCAATAGCGTTTTGTCAAATTCATTCCAGTTTATATAAGTTTGATTTTTATTTGTTTTAATTGACGAAAGTCGAAAAAAATTTTCGTAAAGCAAGAACGATTAGAATTGAGCGTTTCTCTTACAAAAGTGCTATTAGTGAGATATCTATAACAACAGTTAGTGATCATGAAAGTAGAACAGTTCATCTGTGGACAATGACACTCCTAAGAAAATACATCAAGACACAATTTATTAAAAGAACATGATGCCCTTGATTATCGAGTTTTTTTTTAAATTTTATCCAGATTTCTAAGGATAACTTTGAGTAATATATAAGAGATATTAATCTTATCTGAACAGCGATATAATTTTCGAGTAAATGAGTTTTTAATAATTAGCACCGATCCAATTATCATTCTCTGTTTACTAAAATCAATGCAATGATCCGTTCATCGTATACAAATACATATATTCTAATCAATATTCGCTATTTGTATTTTGTATTTTTAATATATATAAATAAAATAGGAAACATTTAATCGTATTGCTGAATGTTTTGAACGGAATTCAAATCTGAGTTCATTTTTATTGTCTGAGTAAGTTTATTTATTTATTTAATAGAAAAAATAAGAATTGTTTTTTCGGATTTTTATGTAGAATAAAACATCGTACAAATGCAGAAATGGAAATTGATCTTTCTTGTCAGAAAGTATTTGACTTGATAATTGAATTAAAGGAAATTTCAATTATTTTCCCAGAAAATGGTTTTTATAAAGAGTAAATTATTTTCTTTTCTTATAGTTTTCGTTTTTGTTTTATTTATTTTAATTTGTAGAAATTGTTCATTGATTAATATTGACTTCAGTCAATTAATATTAAAATCATGTTTAGATGAAAATCAAATCGATTCTCAGGTAAATTTTATTATTTAATATATAAATAAATGATAGAAAAAAATTCTCAAAGATGTTAATTATAATAATACTAATAATTGAATTTTAAAGGAAAAACTAAATGAAGAACATTTCTATGTAAAATATAAACTTGCAATAAATGATCTTCGAATGATATATTCTAAATCAGGTAGTTTTCTTTAATATTATTAAAAACTATAATCAGCAATTATTTGTATATTTAAGATGGATCATATTTGAATTTGTTACGGAAAATTCCATTAGTCAATATTGACTTTTTTAAATGTATTTATTCAGACGATGCTATTTTAGACGAGTAAATAAATATATTTATATTAATTAGTTTAATTGTATATTTATTAGTTGGCATATTCATTTAAAAACGAATCTTATCCGAGAAATTCAAATTTCAAATAGAATTCTTCAAGAAATAATTGATCATTTTAAATCAATTCCACAATTTAGTTCAACAATGTTTGAAATTCTTTATAGAATAAATCTTCATTGTAAATCAATTGATTTATTTATCTTTGAATATTTTCACTTATTTTGTTTTATTTTTTAATTTTAGTTGAAATTTTTCGAGCTAATGCGAGTCTTAAAGGAAGTATTTCAATTAATCCATGTTCACTTATTATTCTAATGAATCCATTACTATTAATTGAAACCAGTCAGTTATTGATTTCTCTTTTACTTCATTTAAAAATTTTTTTTTTCTCCAAAAAGATTTGCATTTTTCTATATCAAAAACAAGAAATAATATCCAGAACATGAGCATCATCTTACAAAACTTAAAAATGAATATGAAAAAGTAAATATTACTTATTTTTGTCACAGATTAATATCGATTTGTCTATCTATTGAATTTGTATTTTAACAGATTGTCTCATGCATTTTATCTAAACAAACACCTTCAATTCAATTATATTAATAATTCTACGAGATTAGCATGATCAGATCAAGCATAATTATCTCTATAATAAATCTCGACAGAACATAATATTCTATAT